CTGTACAGGTCATTTTTTGTGGACAGGTATTTTTATTTCCCTGGGTAAATTCCTAAGTATGAACTGCTTTGTCATATGGCATGTGCGTGTTAACTTTATAAGAAACTGCCCAACTTTTCAAAAGTGAGAGTTGTAGTTACTTCATATCCTTACCTACGCTTGGTATTGGCAATATGTTAAATTTTAGCTGGGTATATAGTGATATATCTTTGGGTTTCAATTTGAATTCCCCTGATGATTAGTGATATTGAGCTTATATGTCTTCTTAAATGAAGTAACTGTTCAAAACTTTTGCCCATTTTAAAACCTGAGTTGCTTTTCTTGGGTTGGTTAATAAAGTTTTTTATAATATGTGTGTGTCACAAATATTCCAGTCTGTAGCTTAGACAGAAAGATTTCCATAAATATTTGTTAAATAGAAAAACTAATTTTCAAAAAAATTCCAATTTTGTAACATATAATTTACGTATTTATGTTTTTTAATTATTAGGGAAAGTTTGAGAGGTTATGTCCTAGAAATGGAAGTATATTATGTGGGGGTATTGGGGAACTTTCACTTCATATTTTTATATGACATAACAAAAGAATATGAGTTACTTTTAATTTAAAAAGATATTTTACACTTCAGAAAACGAAGGACATCAAAAACAAAATTAAAAGATCATAAACAAAAAACTGTAACACAGATTGAAAGCAATGAGTTACTATCCATAACACAGTTTTTGTTAAGAAGGGGATATGGCCGGGCGCGGTGGCTCAAGCCTGTAATCCCAGCACTGTGGGAGGCCGAGGCAGGTGGATCACGAGGTCAAGAGATCGAGACCATCCCGGTCAACATGGTGAAACCCCCGTCTCTACTAAAAATACAAAAAATTAGCTGGGCATGGTGGCGCGTGCCTGTAATTCCAGCGACTCAGGAGGCTGAGGCAGGAGAATAGCCTGAACCCGGGAGTCGGAGGTTGCGGTGAGCCGAGATCGTGCCATTGCACTCCAGCCTGGGTAACAAGAGCGAAACTCTGTCTCAAAAAAAAAAAAAAAAGAAGGGGATATTTAGGATGAGCATGGTGGCTCACGCCCGTAATCCCAACACTTTGGGAGCCCAACGCGAGTGGATCATGAAGTCAAGAGTTCAAGACCAGCCCAGCCAACATGGTGAAACCCCATCTGTACCAAAAATACAATTAGCTGGGTGTGGTAGCACGCACCTGTAGTCCCAGCTGCTTGAGAGGCTGAGGCAGGAGAATTGCATGATAGAAGTATTCCTGATACAATGTGATAAAAAATCCACTTCACCTCTGTGATATTCTTCCCAAGGACTCATAATCTCAATCTAACCATAAGAAAAGCATCAAATAAAACCAAACTGAGAGATATTCTACAAAATACCTGACCAGTACCCTTCAAGACTTTCATGGTCATGAAAAACAATCAACGACTGAGAAACTGCCAGCAACCAGAGAAGACTGAACAAATTTAAGGACCAAAGGTAATGTATGTTGGAGGAATCATTAAAGAAAACAGTGAAATCCAAATAAAGTTTGGAGATTAATAGTAACTGACTAATGCTGGTTTTCTAACTGTGACAAATGGACCATGGTAAGATAAGACGTTAATCATAAGGGAAACTGGGTGAAGTATATGCATGAACTCTGTACTATCTTTGTAGCTTATACATACATTTAAAAACTGAAATTTAAAAGTTTACTAATATTTTGAAATTTAAACAGAAATATCAATGAGACCTGGTAATTTAAACATAGACACATAGATCCATACATACATATGCATCTATATTTCTACCTCTTTCCATCAAAAGGTCAAAAGCAATAATATCTCAATATCAGTGAGCATGCCTAGCATCCAGATTTGGTCTCTAAATACCATTCCCACAAAAAGAAAGGATGACTCCTTGGGGAACTAATGATTCCAGGACTTGGAAAAGAATGTAACAGGAAGCCTATATCATGTTGTGCCAGAAAACAAGTATGTTTTAAAGACTAGTAAGGTCATGCCAAAGTTACACAGTAATCAGGGACTCCTACTAGACAAATCTAGGACAATTTAAACATCAAAAAGAATAATGACTGCAATTGACTGAAACATAAAAATTTAAAAATCATAAATACTGATACTCAAAAAAGTAAAAGAAATCATCACCAGTAACAGAAACAACTCATTTATCACCACCAGCCCTTAAGCTAAAAATGGGCAATGAAAGAAAGATAACTAAGCGCTTATCCTGCCTCTTCAGTAGTAACTGTATTTCAGGGTAACCAAATAACATCAGTATTTAATGAGGAAAAGTTTTTCTTTAAGAAGATGTCAAGGCCGGGCGCGGTGGCTCACGCCTATAATCCCAGCACTTTGGGAGGCCGAGGCGGGTGGATCACGAGGTCAAGAGATCGAGACCGTCCTGGTCAACATGGTGAAACCCCGTCTCTACCAAAAATACAAAAATTAGCTGGGCATGGTGGTGCATGCCTGTAGTCCCAGCTACTCGGGAGGCTGAGGCAGGAGAATTGCTTGAACCCAGGAGGCGGAGGTTGCGGTGAGCCGAGATCGCGCCATTGCACTCCAGCCTGGGTAACAAGAGCGAAACTCCGTCTCAAAAAAAAAAAAAAAGAAGATGTCAAGAAATAAATGCAGATGAAATAACAGAGTGAGAAAATCACCAATTTGTAACCCTCAATGACATAACTGATTCAGGAAGAAATCGTCAATGGACACTAAGCTCATTACGTGAAAATGATGAGTATCTGGATATTTTACATGGTACCAAACTATCTCTCCACAAAGTTCTTGCCAATCTCAAGTACAAAATATTAACTTTACAATGAAGAAATCACATGTCACCACCTTAATCCAGGGATATATCTTAATTTCTAGTCACTAACAGTGAAACAACTAGACAATACATGCCACCTAAAGTGATATAATATAAATTATGATAAAGTCTTTGATCTTCCATAGGAAATATTGGAGAGGAGACAAAGAAACAAGTTAAATCAGGAGTCCCAAAGCCTGGGCCATGGACTGGTACTAGTCTGTGGCCTGTTAGGAACCAGGTGCATGGCAGGTGTGGGGGCAGGTGAGCAAGCATTACCGTCTGAGCTCCGGCTCCTGTCAGATCAACAATGGCATTAGATTCTCATAGGAGTGTGAACCCTATTGTGAACTGTGCATGTGAGGGATCTCTAGGTTGCACAATCCTTATTAGAATCTAATGCCTGATGATCTGAAGTGGAACAGTTTCATCTGGAAACCACCTACCACCCTCACTTCCACATTATCCTCAGTCCATGTAAAAACTGTCTTACACAAAACCAGTCACTAGTACAAAAAAGGTTGGGGACCATAAAGTTAAATGATATCATAACAAAGCAATATGCCAAAAGATCAGATACGGTCGAAAACAGAAAAGAGAGTGGCTTATGGGCTGGGCACGGTGGCTCATTCCTGTAATCCCAGCACTCTAGAAAGAGGAGTCAGGCAGATTACTTGAGGTCAGGAGTTCGAGACCACTCTGGACTACATGGTGAAACCCCATCTCTGCCAAAGAAATATAAAAATCAGCCAGGCATGGTGGTGTACAGCCACAGTCCCAGCTATTTGGAGGGCTGAGATGGGAGGATGTCTTGAGCCCAGGAGGCAGAGAATGCAGTAAGCCAAAATCTCACCACTGCACTACAGCCTAGGCAACAGATCCTGTCTCAAATAAATAACTGAATAAATAAATAAATAAGAGAGAGACTGGCTCATTGTAGCAACATGGAAGGCCCTTTCTAACACAATGCTAGCTGACCATACCTAAACAGTGCAAAATGGATTAGCACCTGGATTATGGCTTAATATATGTCATACACAAAGACATTTCTCAGGATTAATTGGAATGTTTTAAAACAAACTAGAAATGATAGGTTCATGTGTGGCCAGGCACAGTGGCTAACACCTGTAATCCCAGCACTTTGGGAGGCTGAGGCAGGGGGAGCACCTGAGGCCAGGAGTTCAAGACCAGCCCAGCCAACATGGCAAAACCTCCTCTCTACTAAAAATACAAAAATTAGCCAGGCATGTGCCTGTAATATACTTTGAAATTATATTTTGAAATTAAATTCTGTCTAAAAAAAAGACAAAAAAGAAAAAAAATTAAATTCTGTCATATTTACATAATATACTTTATTATTATTATTATTTTTAGATAGAGTCTCCCTCTGTCACCCAGGCTGGAGGGTAGTGGTGCAATCTCAGCTCACTGCAGCCTCCACCTCCCAGGTTCAAGTAATTCTCCTGTCTCAGCCTTCCAAGTAGCTGGGATTATAGACGTAAACCATCATACCTGGCTAGTTTTTATATTTTTAGTAGAGATGGGGTTTCACCATGTTGGACAGGCTGGTCTTGAACTCCAGACCTCAGGTGACCCATCTGCCTCAACCTCCCAAAGTGCTGGGATTACAGACATGAGCCACTGTGCCAGACCTTCTGTAATTTTTTTTTTGAAATATAGTCTTGCTCTGTTGCCCAGGCTAGAGTGCAGCATCACGATCTCAGCTCACTGCAACCTCCACCTCCTGGGCTCAAGCAATTCTCCTGCCTCAGCCTCCCAAGTAGCTGGGATCACAGGCATGCACCACCAAGCCCAGCTAATTTTTGTAATTTTAGTAGGGACAGGGTTTCACAATGTTGACCAGTCTGGTCTCGAACTCCAGGCCTCAGGAAATCCGCTCACCTCAGCTTCCAAAAGTTCTAGGATTACAGGTACGAGCCACCATGCCCAGCCTAAAACATAGGTTTATGAAACAAAAGAAATGTAAGGCTCATTTTACTTCACTGAAATAATGAAGGCAGTATACAGCCATATAAACGTAATGTATTTTGATATAAATCATTGTACATGGAATTTCCATGCTAACAGCACTGTCTTCCAATTGGAAGATATTAAGTCAAACACGAAGATATTTGTAAGTGAATAAGTAATGTAAGATAAGTAAGTGAATACATACCACTCACAGGGCTGAAGGGATCGAAATGCCTTAAAAGAAGCATCCATTCCAGCAAAATCCCAAAACTTAACATCATAGTCATATCCTCCTGTCACCAAACGGGCACCTGAGGGATCCAGACCCAAAGCAGACACCTGGTTTTAAAAAAAAATAAAATAAAATGACTGGAGCAAAATGACACAGCAAAATGACATATGGTCAATTATAACCTCCATTTCTAGTCTTTAAATCCCACCTCCTATATTATAGGCCTTGGAAGCACAAACCACCAACTCCTGTTACTTCTGAAAAGTGGGAATGGATGGTGCCTTCTATATTTATTAGACTTTGTTACTATATTAATTATTTTGCAATAAAGAAAAATACTTTAAATTTAATCTATTTTCCAAGATTGTCCCAACTCATCAACGATGTACTCAAAATAGCTACCACTGCAATTCCATATGACAAACTAAGTTGCTTTAGTATATAAATAGAAATATCACAAATAATTACAATAATTCAGCATTTTCAATATAGTCTTTAGGAAAACTTTTAAGATGGTTCAATCATAACTGAATGAAGACCATATGAATCTGAAATCACCAAAATGAGTAACATCAAGGGAGCTTTAAGAAATCTATTTAAAAAAGTAAAACAAAGCAGAAATATCTGTTGCTTATGGTCAAATGACTCGGTATATTCACCTTAATTATTTTTAAAGCTGAATTTTTAAGTGACTAATCACATTATAACAGTACTTATATCTTGTGTCCTGAGACACACAAATCACTGAAACTCGGGAGGCGGAGGTTGCAGTGAGCCGATATCGTGCCACTGCATTCCAGCCTGGGCAACACAGAGAGAACCTGTCTCAAAAAAAAATAATAAAAAATTTGTGCCCGGGCACAGTGGCTCACGCCTATAATCCCAGCACTTTGGAAGGCCAAGGCAGGCAGATTACTTGAAGTCAGGAGTTCAAGACCAGCCTGACCAACATGGAGAAACTATGTCTCTACTAAAAATACAAATTTAGCCAGACGTGGTAGCACATGCCTGTAATCCCAGCTACTCGGGAGGCTGAGGCAGGAGAATTGCTTAATCCCAAGAGGCGGAGGTTGCGGTGAGCCGAGATCGCGCCATTGCCCTCCACCGGGGATAACATGAGAAAACCTCCCTATCAAAAAAAAAAAAAAAAAAAAAAAAATTTTTTTTTTTTTTTTGCTTTCCCTGTGAACTTTCCTAGGTCCAATTCACATGTCAATATTCAATGTGTGACTCATTGTTCCTGAGATATACGTAGCTTTCTGTTAAAGCAGGAAGTTCCTAGATCTACCACCTTCTCAGAAGAAAAGAACTACATTAGGAATATTTAACATGATTATCATATGTTGGAGACAAAAGTTTTTTGGGTTTTTTTTTTTTTTTAGACGGAGTCTCACTCTGTTGTCCAGGCTGGAATGCAGTGGTGCGATCTTGGCTCACTGCAACTTCTGCCTCCCGGGATCAAGTGCTTTTCCTGCCTCAGCCTCCCTAGTAGCTGGGATTACAGGTACACGCCACCACACCCAGAGAATTTTTGTACTTTTTAGTAGAAATGGAGTTTTACTTGTTGACCAGGTTGGTCTTGAACCTCAGATGATCTGCCTGCTTCAGCCTCACAAAGTGGTGGAATTACAGCTTTGAGCCACTGCACCTGGCCAGAATCAATGTTTTCTATATAGGAGGCTTCTATAGATCAGTTCTCCTAATAAATAGATTTGAAAGGTAATTAATGTAATATAATTATAATTAAATAAGCCAGATACTGACAAAATAACTTATACTCATTTCAATTAGCACTTGTAAAACCTGATTTCATAATAAGGGAATCATATATAAATAATTAATACTTATGTTAAAATTAGACATACACTCTAAAGATGTTAAGGAAAACATACGAGTGAAAACAAAGTCATTTCTTGTGCCAAGAAACACCAGTGTTCATCTCACTACAACACAATATGAAATTACAACTTCATCTGTGGTTCCTCTGTTCTGTACCTGTCCTTCCCTCAAGAGTATAAGTGCCACAAGGACAGAGACCTTGTCTGTGCCCAGCAGTGGACCTGGCACAAAATACAAACTCTACTAAATATTTGTCTAAAAGAAAGGAGGACTAAAAATTGAACAAACATGCAGTCTAACAACTATGAGATAAATTCCTTTTAATCAAGAAAAAACAGAATAAATTGCAAACTTGACTGTTCTCCTAGCTAAGAAGAAAGATGGCAAATTATAAAGCAAAGTTACAAAATGAGGCTTTCAATGCTACCATTCACTGAAGTATTAGGATCTCTGCTGCTGACTATATATAATTCATCATCCACCAAAAGGATATGAAGGAGGTAATTATAAAGACAGAAAACAGAGCTCAGAGTCCGGGCATACTGGCTCACGCCTGTAATACCAGCACTTTATGAGGCCGAGGCAGGCGGATAACCTAAGGTCAGGAGTTCAAGACCAGCCTGGCCAACATGGCAAAATCTCATCTCTACTAAAAATACAAAAACTACTGGGTGTCACGGTGGGCACCTGTCATCCCAGCTATTTGGGAGGCTAAGGCAGGAGAATCACTTGCACCCGGGAGGGGAGGTTGCAGTGAGCCAAGATGGTGCCACTGCACTCCAGCCTGAGCAAAAGAGCAAGGCTCTGGGTTCTGCTACCACACCTACACAATCATTTGCCTCTATGTTATTTCTTCTACTAACAAGGTTTGTCTCAAGGAAAAAAAAAAAAACAAGAAAGTGTCTTTTTCAACTTGGGAATGGGCACAAACATTTTCAGTTTTAACCTTTATGTTAAGAAAATTAATGTATATCACCCTCTCCTTCTTTCAAGAAGCTTTAGACTTTATCATCACATTCACTGGGAAGGGTTCAGTTGACTATTAGGCCATAGTAAGTATATTCAATAAATGAATATACATGTTTCTTAAATGGCAAGGAGAAAGAGCAGAAAAACTGTTATAAATTAGGAGATTAAAAAATAAGCATAATGATAACTCTCCGAAGAATACATCAGACATCATTACGAGACTAATTTGAACAAATTGACCCTAAAAAGTTGTATGGGACAACTGGAGAAATTTGAACACTAATGGGATACTAGATTAAATAATTATTGAAAAAAATTAAATATAATAAAGATAGCATTATGTAGGAGAGAGTGTATGTGTGCATATTGAGAGAGAGGGAGGCAGAGACAGCCCAATATTATCTCTTAGAGATTCATACTGAAATAATTTACAGATGAAATCATATGAAGTCAGGTGTTTGCTTTTAAATAATCCTGTAAAGTGGGGACGGGGGACAAAAACGTAAAGTATATAGGAAACAAATAAGATTTACCTTATGGACATATTTTAAATAACTTGTTTAAAAGAAAAACAAGATCAGATAGAAAAGTCATCTTCTAGTCCAACATTTACTTAAAAATATTTGCATGTAGGACAAAGCCAGGATTGAAAGAAAAATGAGTTAATCCAAGAGTAAAATTAGATACTCCAATTGATTTTCAATGTGTAAAATCAATTAGATATTGGAGTGTTTTTTATGTTTCTCTACAATATAAAACTTAATTTGCCAAAAAAAAGGAATATTTAAATCAAACTTGTGAAACTCATGACCCATCCCTCAGCTGTAAAATTCTCCAGACTAGAGGACAGAAAAACTTCCTTTTAAAAACTGTCTATTGGCCGGGCGCGGTGGCTCAAGCCTGTAATCCCAGCACTTTGGGAGGCCGAGGCGGGTGGATCACGAGGTCAAGAGATCGAGACCATCCTGGTCAACATGGTGAAACCCCGTCTCTACCAAAAATACAAAAAATTAGCTGGGCATGGTGGCGCATGCCTGTAATCCCAGCGACTCAGGAGGCTGGGGCAGGAGAATTGCCTGAACCCAGGAGGCGGAGGTTGCGGTGAGCCGAGATCGCGCCATTGCACTCCAGCCTGGGTAACAAGAGCGAAACTCCGTCTCAAAAAAAAAAAAAAAAAAAAA